TCATTCTGCATCCCAAATGATCCCTTTCAAGGTGCTTTATGGAAGAGACCCCCCACATTTAGTGCATTATGGGAAGGGAAACACACCGATCTTTTCAGTTGAGCAGTATCTAGAGGAAAGAGACCAGGTGTTAGAGGAGTTAAAGAAACATCTAGGAATGGCATAACAAATTATGAAGAAGCGAGCTGATACACACAGAAGAGACATATAATATGAAGTGGGGGAGAAGATGTTCTTGAAGCTAAACCCTACAGGCAGAAATCAGTAGCTAACAGAAGAAATGAAAAGTTGGCACCGAGGTATTTTGATCCCTATGAAGTCTTGGGGAAGATTGGAGCAGTGGCGTATCGTCTGAAGTTACCCTCATCCTCTACTATACACTCGGTGTTCCATGTGTCATAGCTAAGGAGAGCGTTAGGGGAACAGGTAGCTAGTGCGGAACTACTAGCATCTTTGACAGAGGAGTTGGAGGTGGTCATGGAACTCATGGAGCTGGAAGGGGCGAGGGTTGATAAAAAGGGAAACAATGAGGTGTTGATTAAATGGAAGGATCTTCCTGATTACGAAGCCACCTGGGAGCCATATGAAATTGTGAAGCAACAGTTCCCCAACTTTCACCTTGAGGACAAAGTGAGTTTTTGGGAGGAGAGTACTGTTAGGCCAGCCCAGGAGGGGCTGGCTGGATCGGTCCAACCAGGACCGGTCCACAAGTCTATTTCAGGCGGAGTCCTAGTTGGGCGGAAACAGCAAGGAGGGGGGCGGAACCCCCTGTGGGCCCCACTTGGGGTTAAATCAATTTTGGGACGGAAATTTTTGAATGAGGGGATGTTTTAGGTATTTTGTAATTTTCCTTTGTCTTTAATTAGGAGTTATGGTGAGAGTTTGGCTCTCATTTTGAATTTGAATCTTATTTAAGATCTAGGGTTTGTCTTGGGCTCTTGGCGTTGCTGGAGATTTTGGAGAGTATTTCCTTCCTCTCTACAACAACAACAACAACATCAAGCCTTTATCCCACTACGTGGGGTCGGCTACATGAATCCTTTTTCTCCATTGTGTTCTATTAAAAGTCAAATTCTCATTTAAACCTAATAAAGAAAGGTCATTCCTAATATTTTCTAACCAAGTCTTTTTAGGTCTACCCCTACCTTTCTTAACATAAGTCAAATCTAATACCTCTACTCTCCTAACCGGGTCATCGAAAGGCCGTCGTTTTATGTGACCAAACCATCTAAGGCGACTCTCTCTAATTTTATCTTCTACTGGAGCTACTCCAACCTTTTCACGTATATGCTCATTTCGTATCCTATCTCTAAGGGTAAAGCCACTCATCCACCTGAGCATTCTCATCTCTGCCACACTTAACTTAGTATTATGCTTCTCTTTTAATGGCCAACATTCGGCACCATAAAGCATTGCAGGCCTCACTACCATCTTATAGAATTTTCCTTTAAGTTTGAGGGGTACATTTCTATCACATAACAAGCCCGATGCATTCCTCCACTTCAACCATCCAACTTGAATTCTGCTGATAATATCCCCATCTATTTCACCATCACTTTGAACAATTGATCCAAGATATCTAAAACGTGTACTCTTATTAATGACTTGATCGCCCAAAGTCACAATCCCTTCAGTAGGTCTATTACTACTAAAATTACACTCCATATATTCCGTTTTAGATCTACTCAAGCGAAAACCTTTAGACTCTAAGGTTGACCTCCATAATTCAAGTTTACCTTCAACTCCCTCTCTAGTCTTATCAACAAGAAGAATATCATCAGCAAAAAGCATACACCAAGGTACATCCTCTTGCAAATGTCTAGTGAGAACATCCAAGACTAAAGCAAAAAGATATGGGCTTAAGGCTGATCCTTGATGTAACCCAACCGAAATAGGGAAATACTTGGTCAATCCACCTTGTGTTTGAACACAAGTAATAGCTCCTGCATACATATCTTTAATGATTTGAATATAAGCATTATTGACTCCTTTCTTTTCAAGAACTCTCCATAGCACTTCTCTTGAAACTTTATCATATGCTTTTTCTAAATCAATAAATATCATATGTAGATCCTCCTTATTTTCTCTATATTTCTCCATCAAACCTCTTAATAAATGTATGGCTTCCATAGTCGACCTACCCGGCATGAATCCAAATTGATTTTGAGAAACATTAGTATCACGCCGCAACCTATGCTCCATAACTCGCTCCCATAGTTTTAAAGTATGACACATTAACTTAATACCTCTATAATTCGCACAATCTTGTGCATCACCTTTATTCTTAAAAATAGGAATTAACATACTCATTCTCCACTCATCTGGCATCTTTTTAGTCTTCAAAATAGTATTAATTGTATCTTGCGAGTGCTTTTCATCTACTATTAGAATATAAGTGTTTGCTTTGATTTCCTACGGAATTCTCTTAAATCTTTCTCAAATTTCTCACTGTTTTGAGCTGTTTTCTGCTGTGGACAGCATTAAGATTGCTGCAGTTTACTGATTTTGGCTAGGAATACTTATGAATACAAGTGTTTCCTATCAGTCTTCTTTCTTCCCCCTCCAAGATCTCCACCTAATGTTCTTGCCCTCTCCTTATCGGATTAGGGTTCTCCCCACTCTCTTGGCTACCGGAGACTTTCCTCGCCTCCGATGATGTCGTTTTGGTTTGGCCCTCGAGCAACTTCATCATCTCCTCCATGATGACAAATTTCCCATCTATCTTCTCGTGGACGGCTGAAATTTGAGTTTGGAAATATAAAATTTCAGATTTCAATTGTCCAATCCCCCCTTCAAGCACTTCTAGCTTTTTTCTCGCCATAGGTATTTGGTCTAGCATCCAAAAAAAAAAAAGTAAAAATAGTGAATATGGTCTTCCAACAACAAAAAATCAGCAAGACGGAGGGAGCAAACACAGCATAAATGAGAAAGATTTATATTTCAATCCAGGACACTGCTCTGATACCGATTTGATAAGAAGTGGTAGTACTTTGAGCAAAATCAGCGAACATAAGCATGAAAACTGGGAAGAGGAATGCCCAAAAAATAATTTTTATTAAAAGAACTATGAACAAAAATGCAAGATACAATTCAATTTTCAATTAGAGCGGAAGATCCGTCTCTCCCAAATTCCTAACCATCGGCTAGAGCTCTCTCAACCTTGGTGAACTTAAAAAACAACAAACATGACATAAGAAAAAATCGAGCCCTAGGAAAAAAAAATTAAAGCATAAAATAGCAAAATTCCCAAAATAGCTCCTTGCTTTTCCCTCCTAGCCACCCCCTCCACATTCAAAATCCGCTAGCTTGGCCCACTTTAAAGAGGCAGAGCTCCCCCCTGTTTGCCTTGCTTATTCCGCCTGGCATAAACCTTAGCCGGTCTAGGGTGGACCGACCCTTCTATGACCAGTCCTTTGTCGGATCTATCATTTTTCATTTCAGTATGTTTTGTTAATGTATGTTACATGTTTACATACATTCTATGATGTTTAGACATGAACACAACGATTCAAGTACGGCACGGATACGGAATATGTCATTTATCGAAAGTATAGGTTTCAGACACTGGTTAGATACAGTATTATAATTTTTATATTTTAAAAATAATTTATAAAAACTGAATAAGAATAATTTAAAAATAATTTTGAAATAATAAGTCATTTAAGTAGAATTTATGTTTAAAATGATTAATATTAGGATGTCGAGTCAAGCGTCGATGTTGTATATTAGACATCGAGAGAGGAGAGGACAATGTTGTCGAGAGTTAGACATCGATGTTATGCAATAAGTATCGGCCGTCGATGTCAAGAGGGCGTCTGTTATCAATGTTTAGATGATGTCGGAAAAAGATGAGCTATCAAGTTGTCGGTGTAGAATTTGCTAACGTCTAGCATTAATGTCATGACAATATCAGACTTTGATATTGAGATGGTTTGAAATGTCAATGTTGTAACGATGTTAGACGTTGTTGAGATGACATCAGGCATTGTTGTGTTACCAAAGACGTGACCCGCCAAAGAGAAATGAAAATGAGAATATTCGATGAATGAGGTATTGAGTGCAGGTAATTTATATGGTGTTATGGATAGGAAATAAGAAATTTAGTTTAATGTTTTAAATAAAAAAATTTAAATACAAGAAACTATATTTTTAAAAAATTCATAAAATATTTAAGACACGTGTGTCCGACACGTGTCCAATTTGTATTTAATATTTTTTTTAACCAGACACGTTTTTCGACGTGTCTGACACGGCATGTCTGACATGTTTCAGAGGCGTGTCGAATCCATGTCATGTCGGATACATGCCATACAGTGCAATCTTCTTTGAAGAGAAGTGTTGGTGCATCATAGCATGCATTCTTTAAGATATTATATTTTGTTAATCTTTCCTTTTATATTTGGCCCTAGATTCAAACTCCACTTATTTAGATAGTCTATAAGGTTCACACGCAATTCATCATGAACCCTTTAAATTATTTATGATCCAATCCTTAATAACTCTCTGAATAGGGTATGCGGCCATCTGTTTCCCATTTATTTTGATTATCTATTAATCTGTTCCATTGAATAACCAGCCATCCGCATGATATATGTTCTACTTAATCGATTATCAAGTTTAATAATATCTGTCGTAGTTCATATGGAGGCCAAATGTATTATAGTAATTACGTTCAGCTTATTTAATTAGATGAATATATTTGTCTATTCATTAACCCAGCGCTATTTTGGGCTCAATCATGTAATAAGAAAATCTGCGGTGCTTTTTTTTAAGAACTTATATTGCATGACATTTGAATATTTTTTTATTAAGGCTTCATTTTGGATGGCTTTTTTTACTGTTTCTTAGAGCAACAATTTAGTAAAAATTAAAATTTTTGTACTAAAATGCTGCTTTAAAAATCATGAAGAAAGCCGTCTCAAACGAGAAGTTTAAACAGTTAATTCTTATGGTTTATATGTTTAATTTTTCTTATGTTTAAGAAAGCATTGATCTTTCAGATTCATTCCGTGGTATCTTCAGAAGAAGAGCTAGGGCAGATAGCTGTAACTTGCCACGAATTCATATATATGGATTTTCCAAGGCTTTGAATCCTGAATTTGATTTTCATGAGGTATCTTTGTAATTTGATTTCCTTATTTGTTCATCCTCATTTGATTTCCATATATCCTACCATTTTTCCTCGGTCTTTTTCATCTTTGATTTTTGATCAATAGAGAATAAACATGGCGCTGTGTGAGACTGTGATTGACGTCAAAATATACAGAGTTAGGCTCGTTGCACCTGGAAAATGGATGCTCTGCGCGTCATTTATTTTACCAAAAAATGTTGCTTTTGAACAACCGATCTTGGAGGGAGAAGGAAAAGAACAGGTTTAAGCCTCTATTGCTCTTTTAGTTTTAATGGAGAACAAACAGGGCAATTATGAGACATCCACAGAGAAATCCGAAAGAGAGTAGTTGACTAGTGTCCTTTTATCAAATAATTTATGTTTAGGAGCTAGTGTTGATAGTTCTTTAACTCCCTCTACATATTAAATATTGTAATTTTCATTTTTTTTTTTTGAAATACTTGGTTTGGCTAAAAAACTGGACCACTTTCCAGTAAAACAGCTACCTTTTTAGAGCTGTAAATGAGTTTTGTAGTAAAGAGTTTTGAAGACGATAGTAGTTACTCTCTGTCGAGCTGTCTTCATCTTCCATTTCTAATATCCTGTTACTGAGCTTTTTTTTTTGTTTATTATTTTGGAGGATAGATGAAATGAGTTTCCGAAGATGAACACTGAAGATCTGTTCCTGTTATAATTCATGGTGACAGAGAAGCCACAAATGTCCCCTGCAAAAGCTGGTACAGGAGGGGCGTTTGTAACTGCCATATAGACCAAAGGCACAAGGTCTATAATCTCTCTTCTTCTTCTTCTTTTGTTTATTTTTCCTACTTAACCCCTACATATTTACTCTATCTTGTTTTTATGAGTATGCCATACATAATCATAGCATATCTGCCCAGCCAAAAAGCAGGTAATCTTCCTCTCTCAACAACCACTCCCTCTGCCACCCTCTCACTCTATATAATCTCAGTTCAGATGCTCTCTCTCTCTCTCTCTCTCTCTCTCTCTCTGTTGCTGGTCCATCGCTGTCTCTGTGGTGGTGTCAGAGCTCTGGCAAAAGCCTCGAATTCCCAGTCCCCACTTCCATTTCGAGCATTCCATCTCTGTAAGCGTCCACCTCTCTCTCCTTCAGTGTCGTATCTTCGCTTTGATCCACTACCACGTTTATAGGTCCCCTCTCACATTCCTCCGTCATTAATTATATTTCTCAAGCATTATATTTTTTCATATTTTATATGGCCATTTAAGCATGAACATCACCTCTACATCCCAATGCATTAGCACAAAACTTGCAATTAAATTAGACCCATAGGCTGAAAGGGTTTTGAAGTCATGGGGCTCGGATCCGTCAAATTGAACTTGAATGTTGAGAGAATTGAATTTGGTTAGACAATGTGCGGCTAATAAAGGATGGGTTTTTAGTAAGATACAGAATGTATTGTTAAATATTCAATATGATTTCGCATGCTGAATAATCAAATAGAGGTTCCACAACTAAAAGAAACATAAGATCTTATTTAAACAAAATTTATCTGTTCTTTCAATAATTAATTATGTCTTCAGTGGCACAAAGAGCCCTTTGGTTTAAGAACATGACCTCTTAATTTTTCACGTTCGCCCCCTAAATTTTGAAGGGCCCCTTTTTGAGCTATTCAAGTCATACCGACTTCCCTTCTCGTTTCGGTTGCATTTTGTTGAAGGAGCTAAGCTTTTCGAAAATTGACGAATGACAATAATGCCAAAGGATATCCTTAGAGAGACATTTCAATTGGTATAGAGCTTGTCACGACATCACAAAATTATTATTTACTAACATATGGCTCAGTCATTTTTTATTTATCAAGCTCTTGAAATTCTTGTGCAAAAGTTGGGTTGAAGTTGATATTTATGATGTGCGTCAATCTCTTTAAGTAAATTCCTTTATTGGCATTATTGATGATGATAGATGTTTAAGTCAGACAGTATGCTTTAGAGTGGCTTGGCGACACTGGTCAATAGAATAATTGCTAGAACATGGGGGTTGGAGGATCATAGTCGAGCGACGATGGTCGGAGAATCGTTATTGGGCGATGATTGTCCGAGGATTATAGTTGGATAACGATAGTCGAACAACCATACTCAACATGCGACATTGTATGGTCATTTGACCATCATTGGGTGATGATTGTTCAAGAATTATAGTCGGGTAACGATTGCCCGAGGATTGTAGTTAGGTAATGATGGTTGAACGACCATAGTTAGTGGGCAACGGAGGCCAAAGGACCATACTAGGAGAGCGATAGGGGTCAAAGGACTGTAGTCATAGAGTGAAAAAAGTTGGAAGGAAATTAGTTAGATGATGATGGTTGGAGTATCATAGTGAGGAGATTGTAGTTGAAAGAATGTAGTCGAGTGATGTTTGTCGGAAGACTTTAGTCAGGCAATAATGGTTATAGGATTGTAATCAAGCAGTGATGGTTGAAGGATTGTAGTCAGTGAGTGATAGAGCTAGAAGGACCGTAGTGGTTGATTGAGGAAGATATGACATCAACGCTTGGGTCGGTGGCTTGAAAATGGTGATCGGATGGTGCTTCAAGATCCTTAGTGCTTCAAATTTCTCAAGAATCTCAAATCAAAATTTAGCAAATTTTGGAATACTTTATTGGACGACCCATATTGATACTCTTGATAAAAAATCATTCATTCAATATTTAAGTGTATTACTGATGTTATAATTAAACTGTCTTGGGCTCGTTGGATTCATTTCTTCGAGACACTTGATTCAATTATAGGCACACCAAATTTGGAGATCATTTGATCATCCAATTAATGTCATAAAGTTTCTAATTATGCTCCGGGCCCTTTTCATATAAGTTTGTTGAAATTGGAGTTCAAATGGATCTGAATATGATTTTGTAAGTTTTCAATTCTATTTTTTCTTGAGATTCGTGCCAAATCAAAAATGATTTTTGATGATGTATCAATTGTATATTTCATCTTGCGGTTGAAATTAATTTTTTCAAGATTATAGCATAATCAATTAAATATATATATATATATATATATATATATATATAACTCATCGAAAAAAATATATCAAAATTACTTAAAAATATTTGTTTTATGAAGCTTCTTTAACCCTATATGCAGTTGATATATCAACTAAGGTCCTTTACGTGCTGATCGGAGCTCCGTTCTCCGCTGCCCTCTTTGTGGCCGCTGATGATTCTTCGCCTCTCAGGGAAGTTCTGATCTCTCCCTTTTTTATTTCTTTCATTTTCTTTCGGCTGGTTTTCTTTCTGTTGTCTTTGTCGATGGCGGGCAAGCTCTTGGTTGATCCCGAGTTTTTGGTCGACAAATCTTCTTCGAAATCTTTCCATGATGCTTTATCTAATGATTCTTCCCCCTCTCTTTTCCCGGATCTCAAAATAGCTTCCTTCCGTGGTTTGCCTTTGCTGTGGATTTCGGAAGCTAAAATTTTAGCTTTAACTGCTCCTTTTGAGTTTGCTTTGATAGGCCAATTCCCTTCGTGCAGGCCATCGCTTGAGGGTATTCGAATTTTTTTTTTACCTCAAGCTCAATTGCGAGTTTTATGTTACTATTCTTAATCCCAGGCATGTATTAATCAAACTTGTTAATGATCTAGACTATTATCGTGTGTTTGCTCACCGTTCTTATTTTGTAAACAACTGTTACATGAAGATCTTTAAGTGGACGCCAACCTTTAATGTGGAGATTGAATCATCCATTATTCCTATATGGATTTCCTTTCCTAACCTGCGTCCGCATCTGTTCTCCTCACACATTTTGCATGGTTTAGGTTCTATGTTTGGTTGTCCTCTTAAGATTGATCATGCTACTTCGTTGGGTTCTAGGCCTTTGGTGGCTCGTTTGTTGGTTGAGTTGGATGTTACGAAATCCTATCCTCTATCCTAATAGGGTATGGGTTGGTTTGAAAAATTTAGGGTATATTCAACCAGTTATGATGGAGGATTTCCCCTATTATTGCTCTCATTGCAAGTCTTTGGGGTACTCTAAATCTGAATGCAAAATCCTTCACCCCCATTTAGCTTTAACTCATTCTGTTTTAAACAAGGTTGTTGAACCTGTTTTAAATAATGTTAATCTTGTGCATGGACATGTTGATGGCATTCAACCTTTGTTTGGCTTGTGGGGTGGTGCCTGAACCTGTTTTGAATAATGTTGATCATGTGGATGCCAATGTTGTTAGCATTCAGCCTTTCGATAGTGTGGTGGTGCCTGTGGATGTGGCTGACGCTCCACCAACTGTGGATTCTTTGGTTCCTCCTTTGGAGGTCTCGGTGGAAGACCCTGCTCCTGTAGTTTGTTCCCATATTTGTGATGACGCTATCGTGTTGGAGGGAACTTGTGCACCTGTTGCCCCTATTGTTGGTAAGGATTTCACTAGTGATGGTATTTCTGGTGAATTTTTGGTGGATAATGTTAAGGGTCAATGTGGAGTTAATATGGTTGTGGATTATAAATCCACTTATTTGGGCGGGTCTATTGATACTTCTCATGTAATAATTTCGGGTACTTTTGTGGGGGCTCTTATGTCTACTCAATTTATTGATGTGTCAGTGGCACTTATTTCCAATATTGCTTTGCAAGCTAAATTGGGCAAGGTTAAGGACTGCTCTGTGGACCATTAAGATTGGTTGAATGTTTCCCCTGTTAGTTCGGACGAGGATCGAGCTGTCTTTGCTGAATCATCTGGGGGTCTTCATGAAACTTATAAGTTGCAGGTGGGAAATGATTTTTCATTGGTTGAGGGAAATCGTCGTCACAGGAAATTCAAATAAGGTTCCATTTGTTTGGATGATGTGTGGATGATTTGCACGTTTCTTTGTATTTGGATTTGTGATTCGTTTTTGTTGGCTTGGTTGGTGAGGCTGAGATTTTTAGCCCAGGCTATGATGAGGCGAACTTGCTTTTCATCCATTCGTTTGGCTCGTTGGCAACCACTGTTGGCGGGTTCTTGCTGCTCTTTGTGGGTGTTTCGGTTGTTTGGTTGTTCTGACTTGTTACTTGCCCTTTGGAGGGCTCAAGTCTCCGTCTGGATGATTGCAGTGTTTTGCCATTACCTGAGCCCAAATTCGGTCATCCCTCTTTGTTTTTCTTTTTTTTTTGGTTGGTTGCTCCATTGTAGTTTTTTCTTTTCTTTTGATGATGTTCGTGTTATCCTCTTTGGTTGGTTGTACCTTTATCTTTACTTCAATAAATTATCTTTTCTCTATATATAAAAAAAAAAGTTCTTTACGTGCTGATAAGCTCTCTCAAGTATATATATATTTTTAATCATGTCTTATAAACAACATAAACACTAGACGAGTTCAGTACTGATATCTTGACATGTTAGCCTTGCATGTAACATAACTTGCCCATGGTCATAACATGTTAGCCTTGATAATAAGTTTGGAAGTTATATTAAGGTATGATGTATAATTTTCAACATTATAAGATATTTGAAGCCTTGTTAAGAAATTGATTCAGTCATATTCCCTTGTTTTTAAGCTATTGAAATTGGTAATAGTTTTACATTTTGATACAGGAGTTAAAAATAATATTTTATGTTATGACCATTATAAAAAAATGACTATGAAATAAAATTAGAGTTCAAAGGATGAGTGATATTTTAGTTGTTTATATTGAGAAATAATTATTAGATTATATTAATAATGAAATAATTTTTTCAATTCTTTCAAAAGTATGTGAAGAGTTGCCATCATAAGTTATAATTTTTTTATCATCTTATATTTAAAAATTTTCAAATAATAAGTTAAATAAAAATTTATTAAAATTTCCTATGTCAATCCCAACTTTTGAGTAAGAAAATTTGTGAAAATATTTTTTAAAAAATTAATTTTGACCTCCACCAAAATTTTTTATTTTTGCTTCACGAGTGCATATGATAAGGCTTACATTCAGGTGGAGCTTTGAAGCTTTATATTTTTAATGGGCTCAATTTTTAAAATTTTTTATGGTGCAGAATGTTGGCCATTAACAGAGAATATAATATTAAGTTGAGTAATATAAAGATGAGGATGCTCAAGTAGAGTGACTTTACTCGAGGCAAGATAAAAATGAGCATATACCTGAAATCGTTGATTTAGCTCAAGTGGAAAATAGAGCTAGAGAGAACCGTCTAAGTTGATTTGTTCACATAAAACATCGGATTTTTGAGGACCCGGTTAGGAAAGTAGATGTGTTAGATTTGATTTATGATAAGAAAAGTGTAGGCATGTCGAAAAAAATTGATTAGAAAATATTAGAATTAATATTTATTTATTAAATTTAATAAGAATTTGATTCATAATGAGAAAAAAAGATTTATATAATTGATCCACGTAGGGGGATAAAATCTTGATGTTATTAGATGAAGCCATTCTTTAATCCGCAGAGAATTTATCATCCATGCTACTCTTATAAGTTATAACTACTATTATTATATATCATAGCATTTTAGAAAATAAAATAAAATAAAACAACGCTCTCTTTGCGGGGTTGCTCTGCATTTCACAAAGCTGAAGTGGGCCCCACCAACAATTTTCATAGGAGTCCTCCTCAATATCAATAATTAATAGTTATAAAACGAAACACTCGAATCTAGCAATAGCGACCTCCTCCCTCCTCCGTCTCCTACGCCGCTTATATCATTCCTCCTTTAAGCCCCACCATCACTGCCACGTAGACCCCCGTAGGCCCTACTCCTAGTTCCCAATATCCATCGTCGGATTCCCAGATCCCAATCCAACGGCTGACCTCTCCATTCGCATGCGTATCTGTGAAAACGACGCGGGAGAGCGGTTCACCGTCCGATACAACAAGATCAAAATCAACGGTTATCAACTTCTGATAGGGAAAACGACAGAGTAGCCCAAAACCCGACCACGCCCACCACCGGTGAGAACCGTACGACTACTAGTGCAGACTCTCGCCCCCGGCGCCAGACACGTAGCAGGCCCGAGTGGTGGGGACCGCAGCTTCTATACGGTTACAAATTTAGATCCCCTCGCTTTCTTCGTCTATTTCGCCGCTCTCTTCTTTCCCGACTCACACTACACAGCTCGAAGGTGAACCATATCCAAACCCTAACAAAAAGATTTCTGCTATGGCGCCTGCTCTTGGTCTCTTCTCATCCTCCAATTCTGGGAACTCAAGAGAGTTAGAGGACGGCCCTGCTGCGGCCGGCGAGGCTAAGCCGAAAGGGAGGCGTGGAGCGAGGCCGCCTGCTCCGAAGAAGCCACCGCAGCGCGGCCTCGGAGTAGCACAGCTGGAGAGGCTTCGTCTTCAAGAGAGGTGGAAGATGATGACCGACACGATGGAACCAACTGTTTCACTCCCCATCTACGATCTCCCGGCGATCTCGCGATTCGGTGGAACCTGGGTTGAAGCACATTCTATGCCGCCAAAGGCTGCGGCATCGCAGACCCAGGCATTTCCAGCTCTGGTCTACCTCCCGCGCTGCAGATCGGGGATCCAAATCCCAGGTGGAGGCTACGGGACATTCCCGGCCAATCGACCGGCAATGCATGAGCAATACGCGCTTGATCGGTTTCAGTTCGCAGCCGGGAACCCAGCTTTAGAGCCCCCTTCAAACCAAACCTCGCCGCTGTGCTTCTCTAATCAGTGCGAGTTCTGCGTCCGTGTACGTACGCTTGCTATCTTCAGTTCCTATCCGGTTCGATCCCTTGCTTTGATATTATTCTTTTCTAATTGTTTGCGATGTCATATCGTTTCTTAGAAGAAGCGGCTCTTTGGCGGGAATTCAGGACTAAGCAACGATGGTGATTTCCTTGAAATGAATCTTGCCTCCTCCGTGATCACAGATGAGGTTATATCGTATCATTTTCAAGTCATTAAATCTATTTTCCTGCATTCTTCTCCAATCTAAATTACTCCAATCATTATGCAGGCAAATATTTCGGGCGAGTATCGGAGCCCGCGGCCCTTTAAATCCGCAAGAGAAACCGAGCTCAAGGAGTTTGATTTCTTCCCTCGAAGCCTCGCCTTCTCCGCCGATGAGGAGTCCGAATTCGCTGGCGCTTCCTCTGGCGCCGGAGATGGATGCTCTCCAAGCTTTATTGATCTATCTCTTACCCTCTAGCTAGCCAGTTAAAATTATTAAATATATATTAAAAAAAAAATCTAACGCTTAAAGTCATTTAGTTGCTGCTTCTATCTTACCGTCTTAATTAACTATTGTTAATCTTCCTTTTCCTTTTTTAAAATGGAATTTTAATTTTTATTTGTTTAGTGACTTTACTCCTCTGTGGCCTAATCTACTTTTAAGCAATTATGCTTTTATTTATGAAACGATGAAGTTCTTAGAGAGAGCGCGCGAGCGCGACGTGTTAAGTGCCGATCCGTCCAATCAGGAGCCGTCCGCGCCGCAGGTAACTGCAATTCTTTTCCAAATTTATTTCTGATTAAACAGAGTTATCTCTGATCATCACTTGTAAAGAATCGAGTTCGGCGGTTTTGCTTATGGTTTTGAACAAGTTTAAAAATGTTATTTTTATTATTATTATTATTTTGAGTTGAGCTACACCTAATTACTGACTGATATGATCACAAAATCCTATAAAATATTGCGAGTTAATTGTGATAGTGAAATAGAGAGCACTATTGAATTGAAGAGATGAAAATTAATGTACAATGGGGGTGAAAGAATAATCTGTTCTCACCGCTTTCTTAACTGCTACTTCCGCATGGTGATAGTGGAAGTGATAGCAATAGAGAAGCGAAGAAACAAATAAAAGAGTGGCAGAGGCTGAGTAGTAGGAAAGATAGGAGAGACCAAGCCTTTATATAGGCTAGGGAGGGAGTGCTACCTACGCTACGCTCTTTAGGTCCCTTACGCTACTTATATACCGACCCTATTAATTCTATGAAATCCACTTTTTTTGTTGATTTCGGATTGCATGCAATGAATGCCGAAGCCTTCCAGAATCCCCGATATCTTCATCTGTAAACCCAAAGCCTTCGGTCTACAGATTTAAGAAAAAAAAAAAAATATTAAATTCTCAAAATTTAAAAAAAACATATCAGGGTGGGGACCACCTGCTTTCATGAGTCAAGGATAAGCTAATAATTTAAACAGAGAAGAAGAGAAATGAGGGGATGGATTAATCACCTTCTTCTTGAAGGAGTACTGCTGCTTTCCCTCTTCATCTCTCGTGTTCCTTTTTAGGACGACTCAGATAGTGAGAGAGAGAGAGAGAGAGATTTTCATATTAGGGCTCTCAGCTATGCTAATTAACGAGTACTGAGCTGGCTTTAAAGCTGTGTAGATAGCCAAGCAGAAGGCAGTGCAGTTTTAATAGCTTATGGATACGAATTAGAAGATGTCTTATTTGGGACTATGACGTGTAGGCTTATTAATTTGCCATTTTTGTTAATTATTATTTTAATTTGATTTACATTAATGCAGGCAGGTTTACGTAAAAGTCTTAATGATAAATTTTCTAAGAGAAAACTATCCATATATAATATCCTCCATTTATTTGATGCATGTGGATTCATATATAACTTTTATATATGAAGACTATTTATAATGATATATGAAAATATAAAATCATGATGGAAATAACAGCTCCCCTTTCCTATGAAAATAGAAAATGTGGTAATATATGCTGCGAAAAAAATTAAAATAAATATTGAATAGTTTGCATTAAATATATGTTTTTTTTTTTAATTATTTTTGAATTGCTTTATTACTGACGTCTTAAGTACTCTTGTGTAGATGGAAGACAGTTACAGCCAAAAATATTTTTGTGCATATAAGGCTGTCTTAGATCCACATGCAGGCAGGTCCCTTTTGATCTGCTAAAAGAACAACTTTGCATATTCAAATATAGAAAAATAATAAATTAAATTGAATAAAAAATGAAAGAAATTAAATATAAATCAATAGAGTTAGCATTTTGCATATTCAATACAATAAGTACTTGTGGCAATTAAGTGCTGATCATATGGGGAAAATTGGTTGCTCAATATAAACATAGTGTGTTGGAATGCGTCAATTTTCATATTAATTATGTGTCAACAAAGTAGGTAGGTAAGACAAATATTACTCCAAAGCACATTCCTTAGAAGATGTAATTGATCTTGACCATCAAAACTTTTCTAATCTAAGATTTCAAGATCATATGATTTTAGCTTGAAGAATAATGATCACTTGAATGTCACATCTATTATAATTTTTTTTTAATTTAGATTAAGGCTTTTGTTTGGGACTTCTTTTTTATTTCTTCTTAAAATAACTTTTCTATTTAAATATTAAAAATTTTATACTAGAAAGCTGCTTTAAGAAGAAGCAAGAGAGCCGTCTCAAATGAACCTTAAGTTTGGATCGACATTTATGAGCCAACTAATGAGTTCAATATGACTTGCATCAAATTTGAATTGAGTTAAGCAAATATGGATAAACTCAAGTTAACTTGATACACACACAAATGTTATATATATCATGGGCTAAAAAAATTTATCATAGAAGATTAAATACTGTACTATAAAAATAAACTACCATATTGTACGGAAAGTTGAAACTGAAGCATATATTGAAACTGAATGAGTTATGAGAAAATAATTTATAACAATTATATATAAAAAATAGCTTTCAAGCCCAAATTTTCCTACATATATCAACGTTATTAAAATATCACCTCGACAGTCCACTAGCTCCGGCATAACAAAATCCACCTCGATAGGCCACTAGCTTCGGCATAATAGAATCTCATCTCACTATTCCACTGGCTCCGACATAAAAGAATCCCACATGTATAGTCCACTGACTTCGACATAACAAAATCCCAACTCAATCATCCAATGACACCAGCATAATAAAATCTCACATCGATTATCCACTAACATCGACATAACACCACATCACGTCAAATTACATCACATCTTTTCAGTCATTTCATTAATTAAATATAATTGGACTAAATTTAGAAATTTTCAAAATGGCATAATGGTAGGCACCAGAAAACCCTAATGAGTAGAAATTTATATTTTTTAGATGTTAACCAAATTATGAGAGATTATGTATAACAATATTCTAAAGCTTTATTTGAATGAAAGTACTAATTTTAAATGTCAAAATAAAATTCTTAATTGGTAAAAATTACTATTTTTTCAAAATAAGCATACAAAAAATTTACTGAAAATGCTCAAAATGTTCATAATATCAATTTTTATATAACATATAAAAACTTACATTTTCTTCAACAACATAATTTTATTCCAACTAAAAAGGATTACAAACCCGACCATAGAAAACACCCAAAAACATCAAAATAAGAAAATTAATACAAGCTAGATAAACCAAGCAGAAAAGAAAGCAAGGCAGCAAAATCACCGTCCTCCTCCAAAGGAGAAGAGGGAAGGTCCTCATCCAACTCCAGCCAATCCGATTGAAGCAAAACATAGTTATTCAACAGGTGGGATATGTGAGCTTTCAAATCAGCATTAGACATAACTAAAATAGAAATCTCAACATACCCCACATTCACCATCAAGACATTAACAGAATGAGAAACATTCGACTCAGCAATAACATGAGCCTCACTAACAACCTCCTGTGCCACAAGCTCCAAAGGAACGACACTATCAGAAACAACCAACACCTAGGAAGGAGAACCAGGGAGATCCTTACAAGGTAAAAAACCAACCCCATTAACCACCTCATCTGACAAATCATCCAAATCAGCTATCTCAACCTCACAGGAATGACTAGCTATAAGATTAAGACCGCATTGATTTTCACTCTCATTTCCATTCACTCCATCACAACCATCATTCTCATGCGGATCCAAAAGAGTAACCAAAGGAGCAGTCTCCTTCACCACTACAACATAGTCACTAACCGCTGTAGTAGAGACCAATGTCTCAGCATTAAACCCCAAACAATCAGCACCACACCAAATAGCAAAACCAATAGGACTAAAAGCATTACTAGCATCATCATTATCCATTCTACAGGAATCATGGTCATAAGAATCCGTAGCACAAGCAATAGGTAAAGGCATCACACCCTCCCCAACCAAATCATCATTAATTCGCTCGACAAAAGCATCAATATGACCCGATAATAGCTCCAAATCCTTGACAACAGAGGAATGAACATCAACCAAGGTAACTTCCCCATACCTAAGCTCAGGAACCCCAGTAGCCTCCCCCTTCGAAATATGAACAGACCCGCAAGGATCAACCCCAGCAACACCATTAACGTCAGTAGAAACATTCAGCAAGTCAGAAATAACAGGACAAGAAGGCCTAATAGGGACATTTAACGGGATAACAAATTTAGTCCGACATTCCCCTCAAGCATGACCTATAGATTGATAGTGAGCACAAAAAGGGGAAACTCTTCCATTTCAACAATTTGGATGTAACCGAGCTTCTCAGGACCAATCCACACTTTGTCCGGTTAATTTTTCATGATATCAAGCTCAACCAGGACTTGCGCAATAGAAGGCCTAGAGCCCAAGAAAGTGGCAGTGTTGACCTTTAGCGAATGACAAAAAATCGATCCTAAAGCATGAAGAATTTTGGGATTGAAGAGATGAGGGCAAAGATTGGGGAAGGAGATCTAGATTGGAATAACAGGACATTCAACATTAATATCCAAAGAAAGAGACCATTTAATTATAAATTAGGTAAGATCTATGGCCGAAAACCCGACTATAATTTAGGTCATTCGTAAGTTTAATCAAGATATGTGTATAATCGAGTAGAGTAACCGAAAAGTTAGCATTAAACTTCAGGTTGAAAAAAAATCTACGGATGGACTCCAGGCTAGGCCGCCGAGACGGAAAAAAACCAACAAGGGAAAATTGTAATGGAGTAGCAAGCGACTAATTTTTTTCCTCAGAGATCCACAGAGAGGGCAGACCGCGGAAGGAAGAAGACTTAATCTCCGAAAAATAGACATTAGATGGATAACCAAATAAAGCTTCGACGAAAGAACGTAAATAGTTGGAACCAGACAAAAAAATCAGGATCCAACAGTCGTTTAACGCCATTCTAGCCGTTAACGACCGGAGAAAAAAATGAAATAACACAAAAAAGAGCCAAGAATGCAAAAGGAAGGGAAAGGAAGACTTTCTTGAGCGAAACGGCGGCGAACACTTCCATG